GCCCCACTATTTTGAAGAGATCTGACTCGGCTTTAGGTGAGGAAGTTCATGTACTGATAGCAGTGTAGCTCTGGCAGACACCATGCTGCCATTAACTAAGCACTGACTAATACATGCTGTGATGGAGCCAGCTGTTCTCAGCTGAAAGTATATCCTGTGGAGCTGGGAGCTAGGGTAAGGACGCTCTCTGCAGCATGGACCTATCCTGCATATGAAATGGTCCTGCATTTCAGGTCCATGCACCTCAAGCCTGAGGACCTGAAATGGTTACCTGGCTATTTTGAATTTCAGCCATCTTTGAGAACATGCTGTTGGGCACCTTCAAGGTTTAGACAGTTCACTGCCCTCATCTCTGTACATTTTGTAGGGCCAGTGCAAAGCTGCTTGGGCATACAGAGTTCTCTTGTAGGGTTGTGACGTTGTCACATGGTGTCTCACGTTACCTTTTGTTGTTCTGTGATTTCTAGAGAATTCACCTTGTACTCCCTGTTTTTTGCATCTTTAGGGTTAAGTTAATTTGTCTGGCATGTTTTGGAGCTGATTCTGAAAGCTCTAGACAGGGAGAGGAGGCAGGGCCAGCTGGAACAAAGCATACAGGAGGGGCCCTACCAAACTGTCAATGCCTTGGAAGGCAAAAGCTTGCTGGTGCCAGATTTCTCAAATTTATTATATATAATGTAGTTATGGCCTCTGCTGGAAAAATCTGCTGCCTTCATGTCATCTGGGTGGAAGGAAACACACAGCATGCATATACCTTTCCTTGCACAATGCCCTTGCATCTATGATAAGGTACATCATGTTCAAGCAAGAAAATTGGGTTCTGGCCATAGCTGATGTCTGTTAATATCTTTATGCCTCTTAAAACTGTTATTTCCAACAGCCCCTGCTACCATTGTAGAGGAGATGATTCTCATCTGCTTGCTTAACAGAAAAATAACTAAAAGCTGGTACAAGGTCACTCCAGGGAATAGAGCACTAAGATAAAACAAGATGCTATAGCTCCTATGCCATGGCATGTCTGGAAATGTGTGTGTGTGTATCTATCCATTATATGGCGTGTGCATGAGCAGTTCATGGGGGAGGCTTGCATGCAAGACCTGACATGTGATGGGGGATGTTGGCTTCTTGGTCACATAGTAAGCTTTTTTAAGTCCTGGTGGGGAGCATTTGAGGTCTCTAGTCCTGCAATGCCTTCTTCAGAGGCTGTGAACTCTGCTGAGGACTTTTTTCCCTGGCTGCTGTGCAGGCTTGTAAGTAGAAGTTATTGGTAATCATTGAGTGAACAAATCGGGTCTGTGAGCACAATGATTCGTGTCTTCAAGGCTGGAGATTAGAGGGTTAGTCCTCATGGATGATCTAAGCATGGGTCTTGTTTTATTTGGCCAGACCCTCTGTCTGCTGGAAAATACAAACATGCATGTATACATGATTTTAAAAAATTACTATAGGCGCATTTGGTGTTGACCCTTGTATTTAGAAGGCCTAGCATTTTCCATACAAAAATTGTGACCTTCACTAAGGAGCTCTTAAAACTTCCACTGTTTGCAGTAGACTGTTGACATTTGGTAGGGGAAGCACCATCAAAGAACAAAGTGCCTTTTTATGTTCCAGTAAATTAGATTCAGCTTTGAAGGAGATATAAACTGTTAAAATGAACTGGTTCTTTTTTCGTGCTTTCATTCTTCAGGAAAATTCTGGCCTGCTACCAAAAAAAAAGTGCCTCCAGTGCTGGACCTGCTGTAACCACTGCAGCGGTGAGGACAAGAGCTGTGGTGTTAGGAGCTGTCAGAGCAGCTGTGGCAATGGCTGCAGCAGAGTCTTGAAGAGCCCAGTGCACGTCCTGCTGCCTTGCGGCCATGCTGCTTTCTTCCAGGGAATTTCGTGGAGCAGGAAGCCCCTCCCCAGCAAACTTCAGTTCAGCAGTTAGCCCCTGTTGTCTCTGCTCCTCCTCTCCCAAGCAGGTCCTCCCGCCTGCCTCTTCAAACACCCACAACTCCTAGGCAGAAAAGAGGTGGGGGCAGTTTGCATGGGTGGATGTAGCCCACTGCAGTACATCTCAAGCCTGTGCTCACTGCAGCTGCAGGATTTGGTGATCTTAATTCTGTCATCTAGGAAGTGATGTACCTCCATCACCTACAAGGCAGGGAGGCAGCCCTGCCACCTATCGTGGAGCTAGGTCAGACCACTTGCATTCCACATTACCGCAAGCTTTTTGTCAGCCACGAGAAATTAAACACATAAAACAGTATTTCCTGTTGGTGTGGAAACCCTGCATGGTGAGCTCAGCCTAACAGGGCTGGCAGGCAGCGCTGGCAGTGATACCCGAGGATCCAGGCCCAGCTGGGTGTGGAGAAAGGGGAAGATGGCATGGCATAATTGTGCACCAGAAGCTGCACAGTTTGTTCTCTTTCAAGATGATTCTAATGAGGTAGAAAATGGTGATTTTTTTATGGCTTTGAAGGTTCTGAAAACAATTTTGGCATTTGCATTTATTGAGAGCCCGGCTGTTTCAGTGTGTGTGGCAAGGCTAGGCAGCTGAGCTGATCTGGCAGGGACAGATCCTGCTCTCAGGCAGGGTGTGCTGCTTTCTACTCCCTTTTGCTTCTCGGAGCCCTAATGCTCACCTGACCCTCTGAGCCACTTCAGATCGGTAAATCGTCAAAACCTTTGTATTTATTCCTTTTTTGGGGCTAGTTTTTAGGATTGGTGAGCTGTATCAGTTTATCCACAGGTGAGAATGAAAACTGAGGCCAGCTTTAGGAAGCTGGTGGGACCAGACAAGGAAGGACAAGGGAGCACGGACAGCCCTTCAGCAGCCGCGAGCTGTTAAATTGGTTCAGCCCCTGTCGTGTAACAATACTGAAATAGCCTACCAAGAAAGCAATCATGACTGATTTCTTTCATGGCAGTGCCCAAGCCGTATGCAACAAAGACAACAAAAAGCAATCAACGGCTAATCTCCTTTATAGACAAGCCCACACCAAGCGTGGGATAGAAATAGAAAATGTATTTTAGCTGTGATTGGCACAGCAGTGGTCAAAAGAGGATCCAGCATGGATCAAGCCTAAGCTGTTGAGATGTTGAGGTTTCAAGGAAGATGCATGTTTACATTAGCATTATTCAAACGTCATGTAACGTGGGATATTGTGAATTCAATTGTTCTTTGGATGAATAGACGATCAAGTATTGTCCTTAAACAATAGAACAGTAAAAACAACATCTGTGAACCAACGTTCGTAAAATAATACAACTATCTCCTTTTTAAGAATGGAGAATGGAAGCAGACAGAAAACTATAGCTAAAATTGTTGGAAGCATTTTGTTTGCTTAAAGACAGTTGTGGATTACTTGTTCAAGGAACTTAATAGCTTTTTATTGCCTTAGGTATTCACAGCTTCTCCTCAGTCATCATGGCTTGCTGTTGTAAATGTTCCATGTTTGCAAATCTGGCCACAAGTCTTTCAAGCAGGGCACCCATAAAATGAGCATTATACCCATTTGACCCCAAATGGAAATGTTAATTAAAAAAAAAAAGGCAAATATAATACTAAGAGCACTGTGGCAAAGTGGAGAGTGTCCCAGTGCCCAGAGGCTGTGTTCATCATCTTTCCGAACTGTGAAACCATCCTGTCTTTTCACATTGACCATTCCTTCATTTGCTACCACCTTTATATCTTCTGCAAGCAGCGAGATCAAAACCATGCTGATGGAGGCTTTTGTAAATAATGGTGTAGGAAAAATGCTCAGATACAGCATTTGTCTGCACAATATGGGTCTCTAGAATGAAGACTGCTCTGTATATATGCTCCTGAAAATGAGATCTTAGACCTGTCTTTCTGTTCATTAAAAAATAATCCAGCCACCAAGCCAGGAAATGTGAAATTAATTATTACTCCACCCTTAATTGGTTTAGTGGTGGACTTGGTAGTGTTAGGTTAATGGTGGGACTTGGTGATCTTAAAGGTCTTTTCCAACCTAAAAGATTCTAAGAGCAGACCTCCAGTTTGGAATGACAACACTGATGCTTCTAGAGGACAGAGCATTGTAGGGCTCTGTTGAAGTGGTGATGCTTTTACCTATAGATTACTTGTTTGAATCTGACCAGTTCAATAAAAATATTTTAATACGTTCCAAGGTGAAGGATGTGATCCATATTTGGTTCCACAGAGTGTGGTGAATCTCCTTTCTAGCTTGTAGCTCTCGTTTCCCATTTTTGCTCTGTGCTGTCAGGAACTCTTTGGAACCAGTTGTTGAAACAGTGCAGAGTAGTGGGGCCCTGCTCTCTTTGGGGGTCTCCAGGATGAGGCAGAGGTCAGAATTGTATCAGATGTGATAAACTTGCATGGGTTATCGACAGCCTGCTCTGTGTCACAGGTTGAAGTTGAATGCTATTTTTCTGAAAAACAAACTGTTGGGGGTTGGACATTTTCATGGTTTATGAATCTGCCATCAATTCTTTTGAAGGCTTGGAGTTTTGGAAAGTAAAGGTGGGGGGGGGAAAGGAGATTTGGGGTTTGGAATCCCTGAGGTTGGGAGTCTTATGTGACTATCCTCTCCAGAGAAACATCATCACTGTTAAGTTTCTCTGTGATAGCCGCTTCAGGAGGAAGACAAAATGCTGAATTACATTTGAGAAATGCTGTTAGATGTCTGAGAATAAATCATATAACCATGTCTTAGATGAAACAGTAGAATGAGGGAAGAAAGAATTGTTTAGATTAAACAGGGGAAAAGAAAGGCCACCTCAAATCCCTAAAACTTTTCTGGAGATTGTTTTTCTTCCTTTAGACTTTAGTGAGAAAACCTGGGGTCTGTGACCAAGAGGATCTGCATGTCCTAACCTGAGGGAGTGGGGTCAAGTCACTGGGATTTTATGCCTTTGCCTGTATGCTAGAAATGGAAATATTCCCACCTCCCTTCTTGCACTAAGCCATCCTCCAAAAGGTAGGAAAAATGGATTACCAAAAATAAATCTTTTTTTTTCCCCTTGTCTCTCTGCAGCAATTCGGCAAAATCCTTGATGTAGAGATAATCTTTAATGAGCGTGGCTCCAAGGTAAGTCCTGTTTCTGTACCCGCTTCTCCTGTTTTGATTGCAGAGTAAAAGGCAGTTCATTGCCTAGAGAATATACTCTGTAGAGATCAGAATGATGGGGGAAGGGAAAAGCTATTTTGGGGGCTGTCTCCTGTTCCCTCTGACTCCAGACTCATGGTCATTTCTGGGCAGCATGTACAAATGCTGCTAGACACTCCTGTCTGTAATGTGGGATCAGGCTCCCCAGCCTTTTGAACAAACAGGGAGTAAGTCACTTGAGCCTTCATACCAACCTGTTCCCATTGCATTGGCAATGGGTGCCCTGTGGGGAAGGCAGAATAAGGTAAAACAGCTTTGTGTGACGGGAGACTGTAAGAACAAAGCCTAACCCA